GCGGGCCCGAGGGTCCGCCCGGCTTCCCTGGCTTGGCCGGCGAGGACGGGCTGCCCGGTGCCACTGGCAACCCCGGCAAGGAGGTGAGAGGCTGCTCCCGGCGTGCGCCGAGTGCCAGGCTTCCAGACAGAGTACTAGACCTCTTCGTAGGGGGAGGGGAATTGATGGAATGGGCAGCTACAGGTGAGGGAAATATAGGTGCGGGGTAACTGCATAATGTAATAGTGTAATGTAACGCAAGGTAAGAGCGTGTTGAAAAACGCAAGTTCGCTCAGTCATTGATTTATTCACTTGTATGGATGCTCGACCCAATCAGTAAAGACAGGCAAGGAGAATGTACTGATACCCCGACCCGTGTACAGTGAATGTCATGTGTCGCTTACAAGTTGATCAACGTCATCAGCTAACGTATTGAAAAGCAAAAAACACGACCTCGTGCCTGCCATCTGCCTCCGCCGACCGCCTTCCCTTTCATCCAGGGTGAGGCTGGCCTGCCGGGCCAGCCCGGCCTCCCCGGCGAGAAAGGACGCGACGCGTTCGTGCCGGGCAGCCTGGTAACGGGAGCGAAGGGCGACAAGGGCGACTTCGGCCTGCCGGGCCTGCCGGGCCTGAGCGGACCGGCCGGCGAGCCAGGCCTCAGCGGCAGGCCCGGCCAGCCTGGCCTGCCCGGCGCCAAGGGCGACAAGGGCTCGCGCGGCTTCCCGGGCGAGCGCGGCAGGGACGGCCGGCCCGGCATCGACGGACTCGACGGGCTGGCCATCAAGGGCGAGCCCGGCCGGCCGGGCGAGTCGGGCCTGCGCGGCGGCAAGGGCGCCTCCGGCACCAAGGGCGCCAAGGGAGAGCCCGGTGAGCGCGACAGGCGGGGAGCATCGCCGGGGGTGCGCTCAGTGTCGGCGGCCATGCTTGACGCCGACATAGGCGAGGGTCTACGACCCCTGCAGCTTCGTCACAGTATGTCACGAGCTTTAACACTTTGGTTGGCTATTACGTGAGATGAAAAACACCAGGCAGTCCTACGTGGTTAATTCGCTGTGCAAGTTATCATGTTGCATAATTGTCACTGCAGCCGCAATGCCCTGTATCTGCTTCAAACATAACCAGCGGGCCCCTGTATCCCTTCTTGTGGCTTATTCTGAACTCAGATCAAAGGCGCCATCCGCGGTCCATTGATAAACAGTGTTTCGGGATCATGTTTGCTTTAATGTTATTTGGTGTTTGTTGTATTGTGTGATGTTATTTATGAACTTTTTTTAGCAAACTTCCATGTCTCTGACATTGAAAAATATGATCGCCACCGACCGCCATTGGACCGTCTCGCCATGTCTCTTGTCCATGGCACAGTAACCCCCCAACGCCACCCGACTCCCCAGGACGTCTGGACGGGGCGCTGCCCCTGATCAAGGGCGCGGCGGGACAGAAGGGCGACCGGGGCCCGGACGGTCTGCCGGGTCTGCCGGGCGAACGCGGGCGACAAGGGTCAGCTGGGCCTGCCGGGCCGCGACGGCGAGATGGGTCCGGTGGGCCCGCCGGGCCCCACCGGGCCACGCGGCCTGCCCGGTCCCCGCGGCGACAAGGGCGACCTGGGCAGGGTCGGCCTCCCCGGCGAGCGCGGTCAGGACGGCCTGCCCGGTCGGGTCGGCCAGAACGGCGCCGTTGGCGAGAAGGGTGACGCCGGTCTGCCCATGCCCGGCCCGCCCGGCCTGCCCGGCCTGCCCGGCCTCAAGGGTGACTTCGGTCCGCCTGGCCTACTCGGACAGCAGGGCTTCCCAGGCGAGCCGGGCCAGCCCGGATTCCCCGGCCTCAAAGGCGAGTCCGGCATACCTGGTTTGGACGGATCGCCCGGCCGAGACGGCGAAAAGGGCAGCCCCGGCCTGCCGGGGCCGGACGGACCTCAGGGCGTCGCTGGTGCGCCGGGAATCGACGGAATCAAGGGTGAGCGCTCTCGCTTGAAGGCAACACTGCTAGATGGCCCCTCGTGGCTTCATGTATTATGTCAGTGGCACGTCTGCACCTTCTTGTGCTGTTTGTGTTTGCGTAACTATTCTGTCCAGTCCGGCGTTACTTCCCAGCGTGATTCGGTGGCCGAGTTTGCCTGGTGACTTATGTGTGCCCTGTCGGCTGCTGACGCTGACCCACCCGCGCCCCCAGGGGAGCCCGGCTTGCCGGGAGACGACGGTCGCCCTGGCCTGCCCGGCTTCCCGGGACCGAAGGGCCAGGCCGGTCTGCCGGGCTTGCCGGGCATGAAGGGCGTGCTGGGCCGCGACGGCCAGGACGGCGGCCCCGGCCTGCCCGGCCAGGACGGCCTGCCCGGGCTGCCCGGGCAGAAGGGCGATGCCGGCCTGCCCGGGCCCGTGGGACCGTCCGGCCAGCCGGGCCTGCCTGGCATGGACGGCCTGCCCGGCACCAAAGGCGAGGCGGGTCGCCCCGGCCTGCCCGGCCAGCCCGGCCAGCGAGGCTTCCCTGGCGAAAAGGGAGACCTCGGCCGGCCCGGCTTCTCCGGCGAGAAGGGCAACGCGGGCAGCGCCTCGGAGAAGGGCGAAGCCGGGCAGCCAGGCTTGCCCGGCGCGCGCGGCTCACCTGGTCTTGACGGCCTGCCCGGCGCACCCGGTCGCGAGGGACAGAAGGGAGACACCGGCTTCGGCGCGCCGGGCCTGCCCGGACTGAAGGGAGACCGCGGTCCAGACGGCCTGCCCGCCCAAGACGGCCTGCCCGGGCAGAAGGGAGAATCCGGTCTGCCTGGATTCCCCGGAATGAAGGGAGAAAGGGTGCGTATCTTGCTTGTTAACGTCAACCCGACATCAAAATCAATTGTCGGAGACAATGCACCGTTTCTCAGGCTGCTTTTTGCTTCGTTAAATACAGTAAAAACTGGAGACGATGTGACATGCCCAAGCTTTTTTACCATGCATAGCAAGACTGTTGTCATCGATGAATGCCATTCTGCTGACAAACACGGTGTCCGCGTCCTGACACTGCTTTTGCGTTGGGCCGCCTCAGGCGTTCCCGGGCCCGCCCGGCGTACCGGGCAGGCCCGGCCTCGACGGCCGGCCAGGCCAAAAGGGTGACAGTGGCCCGGTGGGTCTGCCCGGTCGGCCTGGTGCTGAGGGAGAGAAGGGCAACCCGGGCTTCCCCGGCCTCGACGGCGAAAAGGGCGAAGAAGGACCGGAAGGTGGGTTGAACGCTCCCAGATAGGAGCGCGCTTGTTTGCGATATGCCTTGTAGCATCTGGTTATTTGCGTAACCAAAAATGCGCTTCATGCATCGAACGAGTGCATGTACTGCACAGTCGGTGCGTTGGCGAGGTTGTTTAATAACACTTACATATGCGTTGCATCCGTGCTGTTTGTGTGAAGGTGTTCGCTCCAGGTTTAAGAGTCGCAGTGCTCCGAATAAAACGAACGAATACCGCACCGTTCTCAACCGCGGTGACGTGCACTTGGGTGTGGAGCAGTGTACGCTGGTTTGCACCCTGTCCGCTGACATTTAACTCGCGTCGCTGCAGGTCCCGTCGGTCTGCCAGGCGTGCCGGGTCTGTCCGGCCAGAAGGGCGACGCCGGCCTGCCTGGTCGGCCGGGCGTGCCCGGTGCCAAGGGCGACCGAGGCCTCGAGGGTCGCGAGGGCGAGACGGGCCAGCCGGGCTTCCCGGCCCGCCTGGTGCTGAGGGCCCCGACGGCGACAAGGGTGACCGCGGCTTCGCGGGCCAGCAGGGCCTGCCCGGCCTGGACGGCCTGCCCGGCCAAAAGGGTGACCAGGGACCGGTCGGTCCCGAAGGCGTGCCCGGGGTCGGCATCCCTGGCGAGAAGGGCTTGCCCGGTATGCCCGGGAAGAACGGCCGGCCGGGCGCGCCGGGCGTCCCGGGCGACAAGGGCGACAAGGGCTTCGTGGGCCTGCCGGGCCTGCGCGGCCAACCGGGCCCGCTCGGCCCAGTCGGACCGCAGGGCGAGAAGGGTGACAGTGGCCTGCCGGGCGTGTCCGGCCTGGACGGCGAGGACGGCCGGCCCGGCCAAGTTGGCTTCCGCGGCCCGGCCGGCCTCCCCGGTCTCAAGGGAGACCGTGGCCTGCCTGGTGTTCCGGGAACCCCCGGAGAGAAGGGTGACCAGGGACTGCCAGGTGAGTTACGACCGAAAAAAACCTGCAGCACATTAGGCGTGCCTTTCAATTGGTCTGTGCACGAAGGCTTCTCAACACATACAGTGCTAGCGATTTTGTCATGTCTTCTCCTTTTTGTGCGTATTTGTTCATGGATCTACGCCTCGTTTTTCTTACTAGCTGCATTGAGATTACCCTTTCATGTCGCACATACCTTTGCAAAGGGTGAAAGATCGAACGTATCGGAAATGCAGTTAGTGCAGTTCTTCATCACAACACCTAAAACACGTACACCTTGCCGACCCCGTCCTTCTTCACTCGCCATTTCTCGGCAGGCGCCAACGGCCAGGACGGCTTGGCTGGCTTCCCGGGCGAGAAGGGCGAGCGGGGCCTGGACGGTGCGTCCGGTCGGCCGGGCTTGCAGGGCGAGCGCGGCCTGGACGGCCAAGCCCGGCTGCCCGGCCCCGTCGGCCCCGCCGGACTGCGCGGCGAGAAGGGCGAGGCGGCCCGCAGTGGCCAGCCCGGCGAGAAGGGCGATCAGGGCCTGCGGGGCCTGCCCGGCCGCGACGGCCCGCCCGGCCTGCCCGGTCAGGACGGACCGGCCGGCCTGCCCGGCCAGAAGGGTGACCTGGGCCTGCCCGGCCAGGACGGCCTGCCCGGACTGCCCGGCGCTTGACGGGCCCAAGGGAGAGCCCGGTCTAGACGGGCTGACAGGCTACCCGGTGGGTGGACAAACTGGCGCGTGGTGCTGTATAGCAATGGAAGCTCGACGATGTGTGCCATTTTGATCGTGCTAGCAAATAAGTGGTAGCCGTTGTTTCAATGTATTTTTGTGCTGCATTGCTCTTGGACGCTTTTTTGTCCCCTGGTATCTGCGTTGCAATTAATCAAACAATTGCAGGTGATTGCACATGATCGCCGACCTGTCAGCAGACACAGCCGTGAATGCAGGCTAACAATTCCGTGCCTGTAACACCTCTGCGCTGCCACCCGTAAACACGAGCGCATCCCTGCTGGAAGAAGTGCGCCCCATTTCTTCCATTCCGCCCGAAATTATGGTCGCTATCACCAGCCGCACGCTGCACAACTCCACCAACCGGCGCCCGCCGCTGTGCCGCAGGGCAGCCAGGGCGCGCCCGGCGAGAAGGGTGACCCGGGCCTGGAGTGCTCGGCCTCCCCGGACTACTTGACCGGCATTCTGCTGGTGCGTCACAGCCAGACTTCGAGCGTGCCGCGCTGCGAGCCCGGCCACATCCGACTCTGGGACGGCTACTCGCTGCTCTACATCGAAGGCAACGAGAAGGCACACCACCAGGACCTCGGTAGGTGGCGGGATGGATGCGGGCGGCGGCTCCGACCCAGGTGGTGGGAGGGCAGCCGCGGGCTCCCTCTGGCGCCGGAGTGCTTGGAGAGTGCTGGCGTGGGGCGGGCGAGGAAGCTTGAACGGGTCTGAAGGCCTGGCGTGTAAACTTTGGCAGGAGAAATAGACCGAGTGACAAAAAAGGAGAACTGGAGATGATAGCTTCAAGCGGCTACGAACAAAAAAGTGTCTAGACGGGCAAAAACTGCTTTGAGTAAATATACACGCAGACGCGGGCGCCAGGAAGTGCGACATATTTTCCCTGATGACCTGATGATCACAGACGCTTCACCGGAGTCCAAATTTGAGTTCACGAATCGCCCGAGACGTGTCCTGTGCCTCCTGTTTTGTTCACACCTCCTGCCCATGTTCGCAGGCTTTGCCGGTTCCTGTGTGAAACGCTTCAGTACCATGCCGTTCATGTTCTGCGATATGAACAACGTCTGTAACTACGCCAGCCGCAACGACAAGTCCTACTGGCTGTCTACCAACGCGCCCATCCCGATGATGCCTGTGTCCAACACTGCCATTCGCGAGTACATCTCCAGGTCAGTGACCCTCTCAGGGTCCGGTCACGCCCGCGTGCAGCTGACCGTGAAATCAACGAGGGGTGCTCTTCATTACTGCTGTTTGGACATGCATTTTGTGCATGCAGCAGCATTTGGATAAGCTCTGCATAAGCTCTGCATAGCCGTTGGACAATTTCCGCTTGTCCCGTTTTATTTCTAGGGCCGGCTTGGTCTCATGGGGTATTTTATATTTGACTGTCCATGAGAAATGTACGGCTAGCTAGCGTATGCTCGCCGTAATGTGTGATGGTGTGTGTCGCCCAGGAAATCTCTGCATTGACTCCGAGGCGTAATTGGCGGTGTGTCTAACCTGTTGTGTCAGTTACGCCTGACCTGCGGCGGCTCTGTTTCAGATGCGTGGTGTGCGAGGCGTGTCGGCAGTGAGTCTGACCTGTCGTGTCAGTACGCCTGACCTGCGGCGGCTCTGTTTCAGATGCGTGGTGTGCGAGACGTGTCGGCAGTGAGTCTGACCTGTCGTGTCAGTACGCCTGACCTGCGGCGGCTCTGTTTCAGATGCGTGGTGTGCGAGGCGTGTCGGCAGTGAGTCTGACCTGTTGTGTCAGGTATGCCTGACTTGCGGGCGGCTCTGTTCAGATGCGTGGTGTGCCGAGGCGTGTCGCAGTGAGTCTGACCTGTCGTGTCAGCATGCCTCACCTGCGGCGGCTCTGTTTCAGATGCGTGGGTGTGCGAGGCGTGTCGACAGTGAGTCTGACCTGTCGTGTCAGTATGCCTGACCTGCGGCGGCCCCTGTTCCAGATGCGTGGTGTACGAGGCGTGTCAGCAGTGAGTCTGACCTGTCGTGCCAGTATGCCTGACTTGCGGCGGCTCTGTTTCAGATGCGTGGTGTACGAGGCGTGTCGGCAGTGAGTCTGACCTGTCGTGTCAGTATGCCTGACTTGCGGGCGGCTCTGTTTCAGATGCGTGGTGTGCGAGGCGTGTCGGCAGTGAGTCTGACCTGTTGTGTCAGTATGCCTGACCTGCGGCGGCTCTGTTTCAGATGTGTGGTGTGCGAAGCGCCCTCTAACGTCATGGCCGTACAACAGCCAGTCCTCTGAACATTCCCGAGTGTCCGCAAGGCTGGGACGGTAATAGGATTGGATACTCGTTCGCCATGGTGAGCGCCGGCCATGGATATCTAGAATCTGTACCCTTTATGGATATTTGCAGCTGCCTCTTAGCTTGAGCACAACGGTTTGATTGCATTCAGTACTGAATCGATTTTTCCGATTTTTATCGCGCTGTTGATAACTTTTCCTCAAGTGTATGTGCTTACTGCCGTGCGCCGCGAGCGTCTCGACCTACGCCCTGGGCGCCGACACATCATGACACGCCCTGACACGTCGTGACCCGCGCCCGGCAGCACACCGGCGGCCGGCGCCGAGGGCGGCGGCCAGTCGCTCTCCTCGCCCGGCTCCTGCCTGGAGGACTTCCGTGCACGCCCTTCAATCGAGTGCAGCGGCGCGCGCGGCTCTTGCCACTACTTCGCCAACAAGTTCTCCTTCTGGCTGGCTACCATCGACGACGACGAGCAGTTTGGCCGGCCGCGCAGCGCCACGCTCAAGGCGGGCAACCTGCGCTCCGCGCGTTGTCGCGCTGCCAGGTGTGCATCCGCGGCGCCTGAGCGGCCGCTGTGATAGCGCGCGCGCGCGGCCGCCGGCCCGGGTCGGACCGTACAAACCCGCAGCCGCCTGCGGCGCCCCGGTTCTCGTTCGTCCCCTCCGCCGCGGCTCTAGTCACTCCGAGACGCTGCCAACACTGCCAGTCGCCGACCGCGCTCAGCAATCCGGAGCGGCCGGTCAGGAACGCTCTCACGGTGACCTCCCCTCCCCCTCTTTCTCGTACCGCCAACACTGCCGCCGCCTTGCGGTGCGAAATGTAAGCGCTTGACTAACGTGCTGTAGGTTTAGCGTGCGGACGGGCCGGCGGGTGGTGCCGTTTGTGTTCGTGTGAGGAGGTCACACTCGGTCGGGCCCTGGTCCTCCGACTGTGACGCACGTGCTGAGCGGGCCGCGGCCCTCGCGCGTGCCGGCCGCCCTCGTGCACGTGCTGGTGCGCAGCGCCCGGGAGTGGCGCGGGCGGTGGGGTGCGGCGGCCCCGCCCGGCCAAAACATTGTAGCACGAGCTTATCTATGCGACGCCGTCAGATGGGCGCTGCGGATGGATTGCTAGGTGTCGGCATTCAGCTTCTAACTGGCCGATGATGTACCAACTGCCAGTTGCCAGAGTATTTTGATGTGCTCAGTTTCGATCAGTAAACGATCAACCCTCACCGAGCGTTTTTCTGTGAGAGGGACAGCTCAACGGGTTGGCCAATTATTTACGCATATGAGGGCGGACGTCCGGTGCGAATGTTTGGTGCTATCAGATGTCCTATGTGCGTGCAATGTCAATATAGTCACACTGACAAAAGTGGAAATGTTTCCCGTAATTATTATGCGGCCTTGCTCTAATTGCCAAAAACGCGCCTAGAACAGCAGAAATGGTGCGGATGTAATGTGATTTCACATCCATTCGTACTCGAGTTTTGCTATTTTCTAGCCCGCCCTGTGCATGCAATTTTTTTTAAGGACGGGATCCAGCTATGCGAAGAAAGGCTCTGTGGTCAGCTGAAATCACAACCATCAGATCTGTCTGAGCTAGCGTGACCTTTCTTCTCCTTAATTGGCCTCGACTCCAGGAATCTGCATACTACCCCAGTTCTACAGGCATTGCAAAGTAGCAAACTAATTGAAAACGGTCATATTTGCTTGATCGTAAATGTTTCACCGACATAAACACATCCCACATGCATAAATGCGCCCGTCGTTACGAGCTTGGGGAATCGAATAAATGCAGTCTAGACATCACCATATCAATAGCACAATGAAAAACGACGCCCGGACTGCTCTCAAGCACGTATTCGTGTACCACAGTACGAGAGAAAGCCCTAAGATCACGTCACGTACATGCCCGCAGACGCTATCGAAAGCGAATACATCATCGAGAGTACGTGCGCTGATAACAGACCAAAGGATTTCTGGAAGGTCTCGAGGCCTTAAGCTCTCCGGAAACTGCAAACAAGCGATCATATGAATCGCAAACTTATGATATACGCGATCAGATGCCAGGAGTAGTAAAGCAAGCAAACCAACATGAGTATCGAAAATAAGTACTTCGTAGTGTTCGCAATGTTCCCACAAGTGTACATTCCGCATTTTACCCTGAATTCCTGATACTGCGATAACCACGAGGCCCGCAATTGTTTTTGCTTTGAAAAATTGTTCCAGTACCAGTCAATGGCATTGCCTCAATTAAGTTCAGCCACAAGGCCCGCAATTGTTTTCGCTTTGAAAAATCGTTCCATTACCAGTCAATGGCATTGCCTCAATAAAGTCAAGTGAAATAGCCTATGTCCGTAATGAATTCAGTTGGATTAAAGCTACTTTTCGACGCTCTGAGCTTAGTTGTGCCAGAACGTCATTTTACCGAATCACATTTGAACCATGTAATTGATCAGTGAGACTCGTTTTGGGTAATGGGAAAAGAAATGTGACGACAGACATGATTTAGAAGCATTTATCATTTATAATTTGCTATCATGCAGGCAATAGCAACGTAAGGGAGTGGAGCCCAAGTGGATTCTGGGCAAACTGAGATTTTTTAGTAACTTCAAATGGCTTGAAGACAAAAATGAATGCTCGTATCATTAAGGCGTTGCTAATGGAAACCACGCGTCGACGCACGTACAATTGCTCACATATGGTTGCATTCATGCTACTTCTCGCAAACAACCTTTTCTACACGAGCTTTTATCCCAGCGAACTGCCGTGATCACAGATAGTTTGCTTGCGTAAGCTCTTCACACCATTCGCATCCGCATGCTTGCTTGCAAACCTTTCCGTGCGAACTTTGCGCGCATACCTTGTCACACAATCATCAAAGCTCACATATAATTTTCTAAGAACACTTGGGTCAGTGCGCACTTCATGGTTAATCGCTTCTCCCTACCATTTTGCGTACTAAAACTAGATAAAGCATACCCAGGGATGAGTTTGTACTGGGATGAGATGAGTAGTAGCCTGACCCCTGGCATACCGGAGCAAGCCCGCAGTGGCGCCCATCTTTATAGGCGGCGCCATGTTCGATAGCCTGACTGAAATAGAGGTCAAATGCCAGAGAGCGCCAAAACAAGCGTAGAAGAACCGTAAACATGTTCGCTCGAGCTCAGTCTAGAATAATTAAGCAGATGGACAAAGCTTCTTTGGCAACGTATTGGCGTCCAATCTTAATGACGTAAGTGGCGAAGCTCCGTGCTAGAACGATTATAATATTTTTGCGTCATACCCTTGCAAAATCGTCTGAGATTATGCCTTTGTTAAACTGATCTGTAATTGATATGCGTTCTTAAACCTAATAATGGGAATGTCCACTTTATTCTCAATTCGTACCTAAATCTGTTAGTCTGTGAAGTGGAAGGCGATAGGATTATCTATTATTGTTGATTACGGAAGGCAGACCAAACCGCCGCTTTTGGCGCCCGTTCCCCTTTTTCCGTTGGTGACGCATATCCATTGCTCCACTGTAATTCTGTGCTCGATTTGCCTGGTGCTCAATTTTTAGGATTTTGTAGAAAAGAGTAGTGGCGGCTGGTTCTACATGGGTGACTGCATGAGTGCTGCTTGTGGAAAACGTCTCTAATATGAAATACTGTCTTCTCTATAGTGGAGGTGCGTAAAAAAGTATTAAGACTGCCGCAAGAAGATTCCAGCTTGCTTGGGAGAATCCGCCCATCGGTCAATTCCTCTGCGGCGGGTTTGGCTGGGGTCTCTGTTAAGCAGACTCCAATGGTAAGATGTTAGGCTTTGGTGGCTTAAACCCTGAAATTGTTAACTGTAGGAACCTTCATTTTCAAAAGTGAGTGGAAGAAATATTCCCTATTTTTTAAGTTTAACTCCCGTATTGCCCTAATCCCTAACTCCAGTGTGTGAGAAAATTCATGTTACGCCAAGCATTTCGTCATAGGTGGCAGACATTGTGGCAACAATCTTCAGTGCATGCATGGCTTGATTTAAATTGTCCCCAATTTTGGAGAAGTGGAGTTTTCACTAATTTTCAGGATATAGGAAGTTGTCACTTGTCAGGGTTTTTGGTGCACTAACTGCAGGGGGCCATTCAAGTGGTGAAAGCATATGAGTGAATGTGTTGAGGAATTGTGTTGGAAGCTAATATCAAGCAAACTACCTTCCAGCATTTTTGGGCAAAACTTATCTGTGAAATTGGGTGCAGTTGAGCCTGGTTTATGTTTTGTGCATGTGCATCAACAGGCAGGTGTCATATGGGCAACTAGAGCAGCAGGTGATTGTTTTCCAGACTGGCTATAACCCAATCTGGAAAGAAAATGGCAAGAATTCTGGTGAGATATTTTGACCTGCCTGAAATCTACCCAAATGGCCTTTTGAGCAGAGAAAGACAAATTTGGGGTAGCTTCTGCCCAATGAAACTGGCTTATGCCCAAGGCATGATACTGATTTAGGGCACTGATATCAATAGTTAGTAGTCAGTCAGCCAAGTTCTGATCAAAGGAATCTGCCTCCAAGCTTTAAAAAGCTGCCCCAAATTTCAAATTTGCCCAACCCTGTCTTAATGAGAGCTCTGATATTTGTTACTTATTGCAGACACCTGCATCTTGCATTGGTGGTTACTGTCATTACTAGTCAGCTGATACACATATTAAAAAGAGTTGATATAGCATAATTATCTTTGACATTGACACTTCCCATTAGTACCATTACTGGGTAGGTGTGCAAGTTAAACCTTATAGTTGCATGGCACTGTGATGGGACTTATTCTTACCCCCTAATTTCACACCCAGTATCATGAATTTGCTGGTTGATTATTGGAACTAGTCTCAGCATGTGCCATTGTCATATGGAGTGTGACATTGTTTATGCATCCTCTAATGATTTTATAGTGGAAGTGTCAGCTTAGGTTGTAGTGACTCATGACTTACATATTTATGTTTATTTCATTTGAAATCCTCTGATATTGTAGATTGTGTCATAACATGGGAAGTCCTACCTTTTAATTTACAGTACTGCAGTATTTCTTACAGTATCTTAATAATAAACTTACAGTATTATTATAAGTGCTTTACAGTACCTCATCCATAATTGGGTGGAGATCAAAGCTGCAAATTTTTGCATCTGAGTGTCACTTTGTGTATCCAGCACTGTTTTTTAATGACCTGTTATCTTTACAGAGTGCTGAAGAAGCTGATGTTGCAGACAGCTGGGAAGAGGCTGCAGATTCTGGAGTAGGTCCCTCCAATTCCCTCTCTTTGTTTTGTAGGTTATTGTCTTGCGGTGATAACTCATAGCAAGATATTCAGAAATATATATAATATATATATATATATATATATATATATATATCTATATCTATATCATATATATATATATATCTATATATATCTCTCTCTCCTCTCCTCCCTCTCTCTCTCTCTCTCTCCCTCATCTCTCTCTCTCTCTCTATATATATATCTATATCTTACACTGTACTATATATATAATATATTCTATATATATATATATATATATATCTATATATATATATATATCTATATATATATATCATCTATCTCTCTATCTATCTATCTTCTCTATATCTACGTGTGTGTGCGTGCGTGTGCGTGCGTGCATGTTACTGAAGCAATAATTTCAATTGCCATATTTTGTAAGTGAAACTAAACCAATATGTATGCCAATACAACAGTATTGCACCATCACACCTGAAATGGAAATGTGATGTTAATTGCCTGGTTGTAGTGTGCTCACTGTCTTTATTTTCAAGTAGGTAGTTTTAATGCAACATTATGTGTGGCAAGAGTAGAGCATGTTCAGAATGTATGTCAAAAGCTTCAGGGTGGTTGTGTGGTGCTGAAATGCAGCAGGAACCATTGGTGGTGTTGTATAATTAGTGCACAACATTTATGTGATTGGTACCATCTACCAATAGCGTGGAAAACATTGTAGATGTTTGTCAGTTTATGATATTTGAAAGATATCAGAAATTGAGGATATTTGTAGCAATATCTATGGTGTAATGATTTGTTGGGATACAAATTTGTTTGTTAAAAATCAGGGTTTTATTTAGTTCCTGGAAAATAGGTGATAGAGCTATTTTGGCTTACATCTACTGCTGAATGACAGATCAACACAAACTCAGAATCCATAGGATAAAATTAGGTGTGTAGCCTTATTGGTGGATGATTGAATGAAGCAGGTAGCAGGCATATTATATATGCCAAATCAACTGCTCCCTGTAGTGTGTAAATCCGTGATATCACATTAAGGCGTTCTGTGGTATGTGATAAATAGTGACTTCCTGAGCAGACATTTTTCTCTGAATTGGAAAACGCTGACAACATTGCCTCTTAGGTATTATTTCAGATTGCCCATATATTTATGTTGGTCCAGGGTTGGTGGTCTTCACGCTATAACAAGACTATGTGTTGGGTTGTCCATGTCATGAAAGGTAGGGCTGGCAAGCCATGTGGCTGCATTCATTTTTGTTCTCATGTTGTCATTTTCATTGTTGTCATTTGTTGCATATGATGAAAGCTTTTTCCATCAAGCTAGTGATTAGTTTGGTAATTTGCTTGGGTTCCATTTGGTATCATAGTAAATGATGTGGTGATGATCCTGCCTTTGTTGTTTGTGTTTTTTTTTTCATTTCTTGTTCTTATGTGCTACTCTGTAAATAGCATTGTGGCTGACCTCTTTGTCCCACAAAGCCTCCTTTTTTGAGGATGCAGAAAAGCTCACATCAACTACATTGTGATTTATGATATGCTGGCTGCTTACAACCCATCATTGGCAGGAATCTGTGTCATACACATGCACATTTGCACTCATTTCAAGCCTGTGCGAACTCATCTGAGCATGAAGACGTCGATAGAGCTGCAATTTGTTTTCTGAGAATAGAAAACTACACATGTTGGTTTGGATTATCCACATTTGGCCAGCCAGACTGTGTATGGTGATGTGTTGCTGGCATGTCTCCCCTCATCTGTTTAGAGGGCTGATTTTCTGAAGAGGCAACGCCTCCACGTCCGCAGGACCTGACCCAACTCCCAAGCACCGTGCAGGAGGATCAAGAGCTGTAGCAAAGCCACGGGCTCAGGGGACTCACCCAGACGCCAGCACGCAGGACCGCCGCGGCTGATCGGGACAGCTTCGGATCCCATCACGCGAGGTCGCCAGGGTTGGCTGGGCGGGGCCAGACGCCAGGACTGAGGGTCACTGAGGCCAAGGGAGCCCGGGCTGTAGCTAGGTCGTGTAGTCGGACGGCCATGTCTAAGCGCAAGGGCGTGAGCGCCGAGGAGAAGCGGACCCGGATGCTGGACCTGCTGTACGAGAAGCAGGACTTCTTCCAGCTGAAGGAGCTGGAGCGGCTCGGTCCGAAGGAGAAGGGCGTCGTGTCGCAGTCGGTGAAGGAGGTGATCCAGGGCCTGGTGGACGATGGTCTTGTCGACACGGACAAGATCGGCACATCCGTCTACTTTTGGGCGTTTCCCAGCAAGGGCGCTGGCGTGCGCCAGCATAAGCTGGCCGGGCTGGAAGAGCAGCTGGCGCAGCTGCGGCAGAAGCGGCACACCGTTGAGGCCCAACTGGCGGAGGCGGCCGTGGGCAGGGAGGAGGACGACGAGCGTGGCCAGCTGCTGAAGGATCTGGCCGGCCGCCGCCAGGAGCGAGCACGGCTCGACGCCGAGATTGCCAAGTACAAGGACTGCGACCCCGAGGCGCTGGAGGCCATGCGGCAGCAGTCGCGCATCGCTATCGAGGCGGCTAACCGCTGGACCGACAACATCTTCAATATCAAGTCCTGGTGCAAGCGCAAGTTCAGCATGGAGGAGGCAACGATCGATAAGCAATTTGGGATTCCGGACAGTTTCGACTACTTGGAGTAGTGCGCCAGGACAGCGCGGAGTCATTGTCGAGCGCGAACTTCGCGTTGGCGTGCATTCGAGGCGAGGGTCTCACTTCAACGTTCAGTGATAGAAAGGACTGAACTGTTAGGCTAGTTGTAATGTACATATTTGTTCACAGGCAATAAACCATTCCTTTTGCATTGTCATTTCGTATTCGTGCCGAAGAATTCGATGCAGTATGATCGTATGGCTTGGAAAAAGGAAATAACTGAAACGTTGTATTAATCAAACTCATTTTGAAACAGCCGGCGGTGCCGCGGCCACCTTTGACGCATGGCGGGTCTGTGGGAATTGTCGCTTTCCGTTTAAACGCCTCAAGCAGTGGAACCGTCACCCATAACAGCAAACTACAGTGACGCTAAGGTTACAGCCAGCGGCGCATCCGTGGTTCCGTGGTGATTCCACCAATGAACGGGCGCGTGATATTCAAAGCTGCTCGAACGGCACCAGAACGGCACCGTCTTCGGCTCCACGGCTCCGCGATCGCACGAAGGAGGTAGTGACCACCTGGGCGCCTTGGTCACACCACAATTCGCAAGGAGCACGCAAAGTCATGCCGTTGATTTCTGGTGGCATTCGATGGGTGCAGAAGTGGTAAAACCGGCAAGATGGCCGCGAACGAATAACCAGGGCCAAACGTTTCCCACTCCTGTTCGTTGTCGTCTGTTGTTTTGCACCGTTTGATGTGAGTTGAGCGCAGATCAACGGACAGTACTGTGCGTCTCGTCTGGCTCAGTATGACGATGGTCCTTCCAGCCCGTCGCTCAACGACTGCGTGGTCAGGCTCCACAGTACCCCGTTGGGCATGGGTGATGCCCGGGGCAGCTGCGGCCCACACTCTGCGGTCACCTCGCTGCCACGCCCGCAGGCGCCTGGCTGGCTCGTCGCAGGCGACCTGGCCTCCCCGCCCGCGGGCGGCCGAGCCTCCCCGCCGTGTGTAACCTCGCCGTGCCGCTGCTGCAGGAGCTGGACAGGCAGCTGGAGCAGCTGCGGACGGCCCGCGAGCGCGCCGCCGCCGCCGCCGCGCCGCACGAGCGCCTGCTGGTGCGCGTGCAGGCCGAGGAGGCGGGCCGCACCCAGTACGTGCCGGCCGAGCCGCAGATCACCATTCTGAAGCGGCCCGACCCGGGTCTCGGCGGCCGGCCGGCCCAGGGCGAGCGTGCTCGTCAGCCGGCCAAGTCGCTGCAGCAGGTAACGCGGAGGCGCGGCCGGGCTGTCTCAGACGGGCGGCGAGTGTCCCTGGCTGCGTCTCTGTAGCGCTAGTGAACGCTCCAAAATCCTTTCCTATAGGAGTGCTGAAGTCGCGGTTGTCTGATTGTTTTCCGGTTGAGTGGCTCATTTCGCCTGCTTATGTGCAAGAGGTCACTGCTTGGTAGCACACAGCTCATGCAGCGCACTGTGTTTGGCCGGAGCTCATTTTGACAATGTTTGGTTCATGATATTCCTTGATTGCGGGCGATGGCGCTTATAACTGGAAGCGCACATAATGTCGCCTACTGGTAGTTGCGATGATTTGAGGCTGTGCGGTACTATGTTGGGTAGAATAGCGCCCTGGTGTCGATTGCGTGCTCTGTGGCTTGCGTTGCGTCTTGCGACAGCACTGATGCAAGCAGTAAGAGAAGCTTAGTAAGATGTGAGGCCTGGCTCCGGGTCCGTGGACCTCCGCATGTCCGTATCTGGCGTACAATGGACAGCCCTGTCATGCTACGTGTATTGTCCACAGCGAGAGGCCGAATATGCTGAGGCCCGGCAGCGAATATTGGGTAGCAGTGGTCTACTGGAGAAGACGACGGGACCAGACAGTACGACCGACATTTCGGCGCGTCGTTGGAGACCGCCTGCTGTCAGCGATGAAACTGTGGGGAATAGCCCACAGCGTTGGTACACTGTAGACTGTGTATCTTTCGATTTTTGTGCCGCGTTTGGAAACAGGAAATTACGTCTCTTCTGGTCTGCCGTGGCGACGTGGAAGTAAGGCCCTACCCCTTGAGCCACATTTGAAACCTGAGCCGCGGCTGGCTGGCACGGCGCCGCACTCGCTAGTACCGTGCTACCTGTTATTGACACGCTCATCTGGATGCCTTCTCTACAGTTTTGCGTCATGCGCTCCGCCTGTGTCCACTCACAAAGCAAACACTGCTGGTGATTGACGCGCCAGTCGCGCCCCTCCTCTGTGTAAACCGGTGCACCCCTGCCCCGGCACCTGTGGCCGCCGCTCGTCTGACCGCTCCGCCGCCGGCGCCGTCGGCAGGGCGGCGCCGCCGGTGGAGCTGCTGCGCAGCAGGGAGGCGGCAGCGGTAACCCGTCTGCCGCGTGGCCCGGACGACACGGCCGGCTTCCAGCTGCCCAGATAACGCCCACGCCGGCCAGCCGCCAGCTATTTTTGTACGGAAAGCCACGCGCCCGGCGTTAGGAGTCGGCAGCGGCGCCATCTCCGGCGCGTGTGACCCGGAGCGGGGTGTTCTGCGCGGCACGAGCGCCGCCGGACGCCGATGACTGTGATTGTGCAGGTGATGCGGCGACGGGGGTGTGCGGTGTCGTGGTGGACGCTGGAGACACCGCGAACGGGCGTGTCTGCGCGGCCGGGTGTCCGCGCGGGCGTGCTGGAGTGAAGTGAACTGCTGAGCGTTGGAGCGGACCACGCTGTCCGGGAAGACTTATTTTTGGTCCGCGTTTGCCGACAAAGGTCTCGGATGCTGATTTTCTCTGCCTGGATTTGCCCGGTTGCCAAGTCCCTGTCTGGCCATCCGTAACGCGCTTGGGTCCGCCTGCCTCGCGCATATTCAGATGTTTGTCACATAGGTCACCGTGATGAACTTGGCGCCATATCAGTAGTGGTGATGTATTTCGGATAGGTGGCCGCGCGCAGATTGTATCAGCCGCGGTTTTCAGCACTCCATTAATCTATGCAGCGGAGTGGCATTGATATGTGGGGGTCGGAATTTGATTCCTGCCGCAATTCTGCGGCTATGCGCTGTATTTTTTTTTCTGGCAGGTGGCTCGACTCGCCAATAACTTCAGTCTGATAACTCGGGAATAAAGAGGCCCTGCCGCACTAACTCTCAAACTTGCCAGTGTGTCATGCAGTGCCTAGGATTGTCGATCTGTTACAACGATTTTTCTACCAGCTGGCATCGGTGGTTGTTTTCATACGCCACTTTGTGGAGCACATGCGCTTTAGCTCGCCTGATGACAGTTAGGAAATAAACGGATATTGAGTTATTTGGTGAATGACATGTCACAGACATCGGAGGAGAAAACCTAGCCGTGGTTGAGACAGCAGAAGTGGAGTAATGTCGCCGGTATGCCCCGCGCACTTCCCTTGCGCTGTGCTTGACTTCGGCCGCTTATAAATACGGGTTTTGATCTCCACTTTACGAGCGTTTGTTTTTTCTTCTCGCCTTGGCCATGCGTGAGGGACCCGGGGCGATAGCTAACTACCTCAGAGTGCCGAAGTAAGGGAATGTTCCACGTGTGAAGATTTTGAGGCAGGTACCAGATGTGATGGAATAAGCTGACATGTAACTTTTGAGATCCTCTGAAGTGGAAAAAACTCAACAAACTCGACTAGAAAAACTAAACTCAACTACGACTGAACTACTAAACAACTAAAGAACTAAACTAAACAACTAAAAAACCTGGACAACACAACTTTTCTGTTTAGTAAAAAGGTCTGTTAATACGCCATTGCTTGATTGCGTCGTCGCACCTTGCAGTGCTGATTGAGAGCCAGTTGACGGTTGTCATATTTGGAAAGCGTGCTCACGAGCGGCGCAAAGAGGATATGAACATTATGCGTTTCAACGCATATGAACGTCATATATGAACGACTCGACCATTATATTGTCTTGGCCTTGATCGCTGCATGACTAATGAAGTGGCAGGATTTGAATGACGCTATTAGGACCTTGGGGGACCTTGAAATAGTCTCCCCAAAATAGTCTGTACATATTCGCGGGTGATTACCTCAGAAATTAGTGCGGCTTTATGTCTTAAGAGCGGCAGGGCTGTGAACTGCGACGAACAATCTTTAAGATGGCTATTCCAATTAAAAAAACGATACAAATGTCGGAACACTCCGTTTAAAGAAAAACAGTGAATACAACCTTTGAAGTGCACTTTCTGCGGGAAATAAATGCCAATCATGTTGTAGCAAAATGCAACCTTCAGTACTTCCACAAGAAGTCAAAGAGCATGAGTCATCGATATCAGACACTTTTTATATCAGATATCAGAAATATCGGAAATAAAAGATATCAGAAAAAAGAAAAAGTTTCACTGCCGTGTTCAAAGCCGGGAAGTAGTTGTTACCAAGGCACTATGACACCGTGATTACGGGAAAACCCTTTTGTGGCCTGGAGGCCCCTCGTAGAGTAAGGGTTAATATGAGCACCACTGCTTCTATGGCCTTGATAAGTACAATTACGCTACCGCAAGTGTGCTCACAAGTTCTCTTTTGGAATGTTTTTCTCGCTTCCATTGCCCCGTCAGCCATTGCAAAGCCGTTGCGGCCCCATCAGGGCTGAATTTGCGCACTAGCGTATCTTGATATTGCGCAGTAGCAGCCAAAATAACGGAGATTTGTTAAAGCCACATGCAGTTCATATCATAGCTGGGTACAAGATGGCTTAAACATCGTGCGGTGCCTGACAGTTCAAGCCTAGTAACTTTTGTGCTATTTTAGTACTGTCGTGTTCTTTCATGTTGCCATGGTAACGTAGGACGCCATTGCCGTCAGTTGATAATTGGGTTGTTAGGAACGGCTGGCTTGAGGATTCAGCGATATCGTGCAGGATTTTTTGTGTTGTGAGGGCGGGGAATTTCGGTATTCTAGGATACGGGATACTATTCAAAACTTTCGACTCATACACTATGCTTTAAACCTTTTACATCGAATAAAAAAGGCGTATAGCCTGAGATCCTACACTGAAAACGACCTTCCCGATACGGTAAGCTGCACTCTGGAGGTGGATGGTTGTGTATGTGCTTGAGTGCGTAGATTTGTAGTAAGCCACCGCTGTCACGGGAATATTGTGTGGGGACAACCTACACACACAACTTTTCGGCTTGGGACTACGATTATGGATTAATGCATGCCGTTTCAGTAAGGGTGATCGAGGTGCGCCGGTCACTAAAGTTTGTCTCGTCTTAACTCTATTTGGAAACGTAATAATTTAGCCCTTTTACCATGAAATTATGCTTATTTTAACGAGTGATGACATGAAATACGTAGATAAGTGGAAACCAGCCCATTTTGTCCTAACTTTTAAACTTGCCTGGGTATTTTAGGACATTCAGGCCCAAAGTAGCTTTCGATAGCCTGGAAACGCCTGGTCCCAACCAGTAATGTCCCGTGGTAGGCACGCGGCTCGTACCAGGCAGGGTCCTTGGCAAGGACCGGACTGCCGCACGCGGCCCGCATTGGCGTTTCCAACATCAAATCCCGTGGGCCCGACTCAGATGCCGTCGGTTCGTTCCCACGATACCTTCCGGTCTGTCACGGCCCAATCGCAGCTGGGCTGTGCGCGATACCTTCCGGTCTGTCACGGCCCAATCGCAGCTGGGCTGTGCGCTCACCCCGCCCGGCATGGCGAGGGCCGGCGTGATCTGGTTCAGCGCCGCCACGACTCGCACTGGGCGGGGAGGCGGACCCCTGTATGGCTCCGCTTGGTCTCTTGCATTGCCAGATTAGCCGGACCGCTCGTGGTCCACGCAGGTTCGCTCGTGGGCGGCGAGGGCCAGCACCAATGCGCTATACGATGCACGCCCATGTGACCCTGGCCCGGCGGTACCGCCACCATGAAGGCTCTTGAAGACGAATGGCAAATGTAGAGGCTTCTCTGCACAAACGATGTGTCATGGGTGACTGATAATCGTCCTCTGCCACCATTCGTCAAACGCGAATAGCCCGGTGATTCAACTGCACAGCCATTTCAGAACACAAACAATGGCGCTACCATTCATCCCAGGATACTCAGAAATCGGAAAGGTGCGTAAACCATATCTCTCACTGCTTTGCTCGATATCATGTTTGTATAACTGGGAACATAGCCGTTTGAATCTCCGAGGCCGAGTAAAGGGGCGTGTCTCGTGTTAATGTGTGAGACAGGGTGATTTATGGATTTTGCACGCCATGATATGCATACCTGCGGTCATAAAGCGTAGACACATTTGGCTTGTTAATGAGCCCCTGTTTTGCGGAATTTGTGTAAATGAGACGTTGATAGTAAGATGGAATGGTATGCGTAACGATAAGATTCCTCCGCATTTCCTGAATAGCTACATAGCCGGTGGTGATGCGTGTATTTTGCATCCATACAGAAGATGCATTCCCTCAAGCCCGGATACCATCTGCCTCACCGGTTTGATTTCAAGTTGGATCAGAGGTTTTACATTGATCAGGTGGGTATGGTGAGGCCGTTTTCCACGGAAAGAGGATCGGTCCCGCTTAAAATAATCAACTCAAGACGTCCACGCGCTGGTGCTTGCGTGCGTGCACCAACCCGCACGTTTCCCTCCGCTTTAAACGGTTTCGACAAAACTGTGATCTTGGGATCTCGGTGGCATTGAAATCGCTAGAACTACGTGTGCTTTTTAACGTTGTGCGCTCACTATGAATCAGGCGCGAGTAATGTTTTGTTCGTCACACAAAACATGCAAAAAATGTACGTCAAGGTGCATGCGTGTTGTCATGCAAGCATTGGTTTGCAAGTTTTACTCCACACTCATGCTTTGATAACGCTATGAGTTCATGCCGTTTGGGAAGGCCCCGTGTGAGTATTTTGATCTGTGTCTTGATTTCCGTACGGTTTTGACATGCTCGACAATCATTTTAAGACAGTTGTTCAATGCGTAACCACTGTTACCCGATAGTACAACAGGGTGCATCAATTCAGCAGCGGGTGTCGCAGCGTCGCATTGGAGCGTGCTACATCTGACATTAAATTCCAAAGCCAGCACCGTGCGCCGTTTGACCTCGTCCCGCTTCACTCTTCTTTTCTCCCGTTCCGTCTTCCACAGCTCGCTGACCCCTCCCCAGTCTCGGCCCCTTACGCCTTACACCACTCGCCGATCCCCCCTGGCCTCGTCCCGCACCGGCTGACCCCTCCACCCCTGCTGACCTCCGCCCTTGCTGACCTCCACCTCTGCTGACCTCTCTGTTGACCTCCGCCCCGGTGCTGCCGAAAGGAGATCGCCAGCCGGGACCTGCCACGGCCTGGCTGGACCAAGCGCATCCCGCGTCACAGCTTCTATCCTCGCACGGCCGGGCCCGGCCTGCCCGCCTGGGTCGCCTTCGACAAACAGGTGACGCCGCGGCAAGGCCTGCGGTGGGAAGGAAGGGCCGGACTAGCCGGTGAGCCTGCCAAGCTCACGGTGAGCTGGGGCTCGGTCGGTGCGGTCGACGGGGCCTACCTGCGAACTACTACGAGCTCTGAGCTGCGGCTATCGACCGGTTGGTACGGTGGGTCAGCTGGCTCATTAGTCAATGACGCCGTCGACCAGATGTAGCACGGATGGGGAGTCATCAATAATCGTAAACCGGGACCAAAGTCATCCATTAACAACAGAAGGGAGCGTCAAAGCGTGGATGACCATCTTTTGGAATGTGCGACCTTACACGCTTCCCCTAAACTGTACGTCGATAAGACAGGCAGGTGAGCGGACTCAAATGATCTGTCTGCGATCCCACGTCTTTCGAATAGTCGAGACTGGCTGTTGGACGGCTTCGCATGCCAGTTGCCGGCGCGCTCAGTACTGACGGCGTCGCGACCGGGCAGGTGCTGCGCTTCCGCGGCTACTACATCGACCGCGTGCAGAACTCGCAGGTCGAACGAAGCCGCGTGCGCACCGTCAAGATCCACTTCTACCTGGAGGACGACACCATCGAGGTGATCGAGTCCAAGTGGAAGAACAGCCAGCTGCCGCAGGGTGAGGGGGTCACAGGGCGGGCTTGAGCGTTCAGGTCGATTGGCTCAGCAGCGACGACTCAGAGCGGCGATTTCAAATACCCATTTCGGCCAACTTTGGCAATGTGGGCACCTGGCTTGCAACACTACGACACGTGGACGAGGGCTGGATTCAGTGCAGCACTGCCGTTGTCCCGTAGTGTTTGCGGTCGCGGCGCCCCGCGTCGTCAGAGACGAACCCTTGGCCAACGCCGTGTGCAGGCACGCTGCTGCACCGCCACGGGTGCCGCTGCCGGAGCCGGACGACTTCGAGTTCTACACGATCGAGCACCTGAACGTGGGCCGTGACCTGGTGCTGTACGGCACCACCTACCACGTCACCTCTTGCGACCAGTTCACGCGCAACTTCCTCGCCAAGCTGGGTGTGCGTGTCAACCCGGACACGTGCATTCCCAGCGATGCCTACATGGAGACGAGGAACGACGTGAGTTGCGGCGCGGCGTGTGTGGGGCGCGGGTGGGTTGGGGCGGAGACGACTGCCGGCCCGCTCTTCACGTTCGGGTGATGGCTTTGCCAGCTTTGGCATGTGCCAGCTGTAAGCTGCAGAGGATCCATCGCCGATTCTGCCGTCGACTGATTGCCCTTCCCTACGGCCAGGTACTCCATAGTCGTCGCGGCATATCCGCCACTAACCCCGTCGACCCCGTACTATTTGGCTGACTGCCCTACCCTACGGCCAGGTTCTCCCATAGTCGTTGCGGCATGTCCGCCACTAACCCCGTCGACCCCGTCCTATTCGGCTGACTGCCCTACCCTACGGCCAGGTACTCCCATAGTCGTCGCGGCATGTCCGCCACTAACCCCGTCGACCCCGTCCTATTCGGCTGACTGCCCTACCCTACGGCCAGGTACTCCCATAGTCGTCGCGGCATGTCCGCCACTAACCCCGTCGACCCCGTCCTATTCGGCGGGCTGGTCGCTTCCCTGCGGCCAGGTACTCCCATAGTCGTCGCGGCATGTCCGCCACTAACCCCGTCGACCCCGTCCTATTCGGCAGGCTGGTCGCTTCCCGCGGTCCTCCTGGCAAGCGTCATGGGCTCCACCTATGCATGGCCGAGGTTCAGTGCGGTTTCCAAACGCGTTACAGACAACACCTTGCCACAGCTCGTCAGTTCCAGTTGCTGTCTTTCAAGCGCCACAGTTCACATACATGGTAGGAGGCGCATCTGAAGGCGGCACAGCGCTGGCACGTGCCTCAGTCGGCCATGCGTTGTCCGAGGCCGTGCCTGTCGTGCCTCACGCTTGCCCCTCCCCCCCCCCCCGGCCTGCAGCATGAGCGCTCCATGCGACCGCTGAAGCCGTACAAGAAGGTGGACACGCTCGGTCAGTTCCTGCACTACGACGGCAAGGTGCTGCGCTTCTGGGG